ACTCAGCCATGAGCAATTGACAATAGTTCCTACATTAAGGTTGGGGCCTCTTGCCCATTTCCACAGTCCTGTGCTGGACTTTTGTCTAGTTTGAGTTTGCATGGGTCTTGTGCATGTTGTCAAAATTACTGTAAGTTCATATAAGCAAGTTCCCAGAAGTCTGGAAAACTGTTTCCTTGTGCTCATACACCACTTGGCTCTTACAGTCTTTCTGTCCCCTCTTCCCCAATGGTCCCTGAGCCCTGCATGGGTGAGCTTTAATATAGGAGTCCTGTCCAGGGACCCACACTCTGCTGACTCTTATTCTCTACACTGGCTAGTTCTGACCTTCTGTGTTAATTGTTCTCTGTTGTATGAGGAAGCTTTGCTGGTGAGAGTTGAGAGATGCTTTAATATTCTTTCTGCCCCTGTTGCACAATGTTCAGTGAGCATTAAGTATAGAAGTTCCATTGTAGATGAGTCACTTAGGGCTGGGCATCTCACAGACACTCATTCTCTGTGTTTGATCTCTGTGTTAACTCTGTAACAGTTACAAAAAGCTTATTTGATGAGTGATGACAGGTATATGTGTCTGTAAATATAAGAATACACATTTAGCAACACACTTGGCTGCACAAATATTTCTGCAGTGGGAGGAGTCCTTCGGGTATGTGCCAAAGAGTGGTAAAACCCAATCACATGGTAGATTTATATTTAGTTTTTAAAGAGTTCCGCACACTGTTGGGACTGTAGGGATAGCTCAGCAGTTAAGAGCACCGGTTGCTCTTGCAGAGGACCCAGATTCAGTTCCCAGCACCCACATGGCAACTAATAATCATCTATAACTTCAGTTCCAGGGGAATCTGACACCCTCTTCTGACCTCTGTGAGCATCGCATGACACAGTGCACTTACATACATGCAGGCAATACACTCATGCACATAAAATAAAATGTGATCTTAATCCTCTCTTCTCTTCTCCAAGGAGAACTTGTGAAATGATTTGGAAAAAAAAAATCAGTGCAATTTTCTTTTGAAGTCACTCTCATTAGTTTCATGTCCTTAAAAATTCAAACCTTGTGGGGACGGAGAGATGGCTCAGCGGTTAAGAGGACCTGGGTTCGATTCCCAGCACCCACATGGCGGCTATGAACCGTCCTTAGCTCCAGTTCCAGGGGAATCCGAAGCCCTCTTCTGACCTCCGCAGCATTGCATGACACGGGTGCACTCACATACATGCATGCAATACACTTGTACACATAAAATAAAAATAATAAAATATTTAAAAATTCAAACCTTGTGAGTTATGCTTCCAATAATTTTTGAGGCTTAGTGTTCCTGAGTATGAACACTTAGACAAAATGAAGAGATCAATACAATTTGAAATTATCTAAAAAGTTTTTTTAACAACACAGACACAGATGAACATATGAAGGATTTTTGGATACATATTCATTTCACTGTGAATAATGTACTTACGGGTAAAAACTGTACTAATACTTATGCAACAGGAAATCAAAGATGTAGATGTGGGAAGAATATAGAAATTGATAATGCAAAGAGCTGGGCTCAGACTCTCTTACTAAGTTTACTCAATAACTAAATCTCTCACTGGAGATTGAATCTAGAGCCTCGTGCGTCCCTAGCTTGTATGCACTCTACCATCTGAAGCTATAAATATTTTTCTTGCTCTTTAGTTGTTCTCCAAGAAATGACGCCTCTAAGGAGTCTACTGTGTAAAAAATTGAATAGTATGAAAAATTTCCCGAATTATCTTTCTCCTCCTTCAGTAGTATGCAGACATGTTATGTTGTAAGTTCTACAGACCTCTCATAGTATACATGCCAATCAAGGAACAAATGTACTCCTCTGACTCTCACCATTTGACAGCGTCTTTTGATACCACTATGCTAAGGGACCTTAGGAAACAGGGCCTCATCTCTTAGGTGATTCAACTAATGGATCTGTAGTAGCTGCAATTTTTCTCATCAAAACTAAAATGTCCTGAAAACATCTACTCTCTCCTGGGAGTTGGTAGAGTACAGTCAGATATCCACTCAGTTTGGGTGTGATAGTTAAAGTGAGACCTGAGACTGCTGCACAGAAGAACCCTTTACTTCAAAGTCTGCAGGGAGATGGAAGGAAGGCAACAAGTAGGACTTGAGGGAAATTTGACTAGGTTTGAAATAGAACTTAGGGTACAAATACAGTCTACGTGCAAAAGCTTCAGTAGACTTGTGCTGCAAGGTGAAATTTGTGAAAGTTGGAGATCTTTTGGGAGAGCATCCCAGAAAGCAGCGTTGGTGTTAAAGACAGTGGAAAAGTGCACGTGGATTTCAGAATTACTGAGGAGAGCTTCAGAGCCACAGTTACTCTGCTGTATTTGAGTCTTCGATTCTTTGTTTGCTTGTAATAACGCGTTGTGCCTTTACTTCCTGCAGCTGTACGTCTACAATCAACCATCTTGTTACTCCCTTGAAGATCCCCATAACCTCATAATAGTCAGTTCAGGAAACGTTTTCTTTTTTCTTTTCTTTTCTTTTTTTCTTTTTTCTTTTTTTGGTCTTTTTGAGACAGGGTCTCCCTGTAGCCCCAGCCGTTCTGGAACTCACTATGTAGACCAGGCTGGCCTTGAACTCACAGAGACCTGCCTGCCTCTGCCTCCCGAGTGCTGGGATTAAAGGCATGGGCCACCACGTCTGGCCTGGAAGCCTTTTCTTTTTATATAAACTTATCAGGGTCTGTCATGCAATAAACCGAAGTATTAAAATGTATGGCTTGCTTAAAAATTTACATGCATATACCAATAAAACCACTATCAAAATCAAATCAACTAACAACATTCACTTCAAAAGGTTTTCTTGGATCCCCTTAGAATCTCATTTTCTGGGTGTGGTGTTTATGTCACAGCACTTGGGAGACTGAGGCAGGAAGATTATCATGAGTTAGAGGCCAGCCTGGACTGTGTGAGACCTGCCTAAAAAAATGTCCTTTTTTACATATACTCCTTTATGGGGAAGTATTAATATTTTTCTGTCACTATGGATTGATTTTCATTTTTAGAATTTTATGCAAATAGATAATAGTACTTTGGGGGAATCTAGTTTCTTTAACTCAGTATAATTATTTGAGATTTATTTCTTGTATCAATTGTTCATTACTTTTTTATCAGTGAATAGTATATCCATTATATGGATATGCAAGTTTTTTCTTCCAACTGATTAAAGATGTACTTATCAAAATTATGTGGAAAATACATAATTATCCAAAAGATCCATGGAACAACCATAGAACCCACTTCGCAGGAAAAAATGAGAACATAAGTCAAAGAATTAGAAAAATCTAAAAATATTACTTTGGTATCGTGCTTTTCCTGGACACCATTTGACTAAACTGTCCTTTTAACCGGTTTTCCAGACTTGTTTTCAGGTGGCAGATATTTGCATCTTTTCCTGGAAGAACCCTGAACTGGGAGACTAATGTTCTAGCTATTGATTCTGTTCATCTACCCTAGGACCTTAGACGAGTTGTGTCATCTCCAACTCCTGCCTTCTTTTCTGGGAAATGAATGGTCTACTGCAGGCAAACACAAGGTTCTAACTTCCAAGTTCTTACATTTTAGGAACTGACTATCGTTTGCTGCATTCCTGGTTGAGCTTAAGACAGCAGTTCAGGTGAAAATGGAAAGAAGAGGTATTGAACAGGCTAACTCTGCCCACAACGATCACTAAACTGACAGCTCTTAGTGAACACTGCTCTCTCTTGATGAAGGAAGGCCCAGCGGAATGAGCTAGAAGACAAATTTGCCTCCACTCTGCCAGATGTAGTGACACTAAAGAGGCTAGGCATTTTTAAAATAAAACACATACACAGTCCTGGGAAGAAATAGGCCTAGAGTTGGTTACCTTTGACAAGTACAGATCCACAGGGACTGTCTCTTAAGATGAACAGCCCAGAGGAAAACAAAACTTTAAAATCAATCTCCTGTGCTTTTCTGGCTAGTGCCGATATTACAGATAAGATAGGACACCTCTAGTGGTTCATTATAACCCCCATTCTCGTTAATTGCCCTCTGCTCTTTAAATGATTCTCTGGGGCAAGAGGAGTAGTTAACAAAGGGAGCTGAGTCCCCTAGGGGACCTTGTTAAACGTGTTGTATTTATAAGGTGATTAGTTCATGTAAATGAATTAGTGTTGCCAAAACCTTGGAATATATGCACACAGAGCAAATCCAGGAGGCAGGGAATCTAAAATCTAGCCACACTCAAGAAAATACTGTTTAGCATTCAAAGGTTAATTCTGGGTGAAGGAAGAAAAAGGGTCCCTGAGCTCCATCAGTCTGATTTCAGAAACATTAAACATGAAATGAACGAATATTAGATCTCTGTAGAATTTGAACACATTGCTTTGGAATAGATTTCTGGAGCAAAGGTAAAGGTGCTTTGTCATATGGGGAGGATGATTAGCTCAAAAGTTGTTCATGAATCAGATCACACATGCTGGTCACATCTCTGGGCAATTCTTCAGGGGTTGGATTGTAAATGCATTTTATACTACCTGGGTTTGTGATAGGTATTAATAATAGTAGGTTAATTCCTTGTCTCTAAATCAGAGTGACCACAGAGGCACAGTGGTACACAGCACTGAGTTTTGGGAAGAACACAATTCATTGAGCTAGTGAATGTCATGTGTTTTCCACAAGGGGGTGCATCTTCCTAACACACACGTTTTCTGTTTCAATTCTGATCTCATAGTCATCTTTTCACTGTGACTTTCACCTTTCCTCATATTATAACATCAAAATTCAAGCACTTGAGAGGCTCAGAAAATGAGCTTTTCTCCTGGACCAATGATTATAATTTTCTTAATGTTTAGTAAGTAAAATGTCACATAATGTTGGTTTTTTTGGTTCCATGTTGTTAACGCAAATTTTATGTACAATTTTCTCAAAGAGTCAGAATTTAGATCGTAACCATGCTAACCTGCACTGAATGTTCACATTAGCCTGTATTTATGTTTTAGTTTTAGGAGTAGCTAATGGAGATTTAGTCACTCAGACAGAGGATGAAGTGATCCTGTCTGAAAGAGCTTCCCTGACTATGAATTGTTCCTATAAAACCACAGGTTACCCAGTCCTGTTCTGGTACATCCAGTATCCTGGAGAAGGTCCAAAGATTCTCTTTCGAGTCTCAAAGGCCAACAAGAAAGGAAGCAACAGGGGCTATGAAGGCACAGGTGATAAAGATGCCACCTCCTTCCACGTGCACAAAGCCTTAGTCCAGGAGTCAGACTCCGCTGTGTACTGCTGTGCTCTGGATGGTACAGTGGCAGGAACTGCAGGGGCGGCAGAGCACAAATTCTGAACAGTAACAAGGGACCTGGTTGCAGAGCATCTGGCTCTATGATCACTCTGGTTAAGGGAGTGTTAGATTTAGGAGAGCAGAAAAAGGAAAGAGTTTAAAGTTTAGAAATTAGAGTCAGAGCCAGACATGCAACAGGCAAGAAATGTGCTTCCTGGATTCAGGAAGCCCAGCAAATGGCTGATAAAAGCTGTTCCTCGAGGGATGATTATCTGCGCTCTGAACCGGAAGCAGTCTGGTCTTATATAGGAACTCTGCTGCACGACTGCAAGAGTTAACTTTGTGCCAGGGTTTGGTGTCCTTGAGGGTCTTTTTTTCTGAAGATTATTTGCTCAGGCAGATGGATGAGTTACCTATAGCCCTAAAGGAGACAGGTGGGTTCCACAAACAGTCCCTCTCAGTCTAGGGAGTGACCAGTTGATAAGGCTTGAGCAAGGCCAGGCTTGAGCAAAGCCAGGCTGCCAATTTAAGGCCAGTTAGACACTTTTAAGTAAGCGATTAATGGCTTTATGGTCTCCGGTAATGAAGCTTATGGCTCTCCCATCCAACCTCGCATATTCTATCAAGGACCAGGAGCTAGTCCATTATTACTGCCAACTGCCACACATCTAGAGTCTGGTGGTGTTAAAAATTACCCCAGTTAACACTGACAGTACAGTAGAACAAAACGGAACACGGCTCATCCAAGGAGCTTGAAGGTGGAAGCTGAAGGCACTAGTCACCATAGTTTCTCAGACATGCATTTAATTTGATTTAAAAGGCAGAAAACCTCTTGCTGAATGTAATGATCTGTGTATTTATTCTTGACTGTAGTTCTGTTCCTGTGACTTTGTCTCAAATAATCGAGAAGTATTTGCTTAAAGATATGGCTGTGGCATATGAGGCTAAAGTGCTTGATATCTATGTGAGAAAAATTGTGGTTCCTAAGGGAGGCTTCAGCCCAAGAAACAGTAGGTTCTTAAAGAAAGGAGAAATACGAGGAAAGAAGGGGAATAGTGGGTAATACTTGATCATATCTATTTAAAGAGAAGAGGGAATCTTAACTTCTTTTTTGGGCAAAATTACATGACAAATATGTTTGTGTTCAACACGCATTACTCATGACTGAAAACAATAGAGACCATACCTCTTCCATAATTTCTCAGGGAGCTGGTTTTCTGTCATCAAGATAGTACCTGAGATAGACAATATACAGAGAAGGCAAATTTTATTGAGATGAATCTCGTTTCTGTAGATTGGTTGGGAGAATAATTCTGGGTCCCCCTAGTGTCTTTTCTTGTTTATTTATTTTTATTTTATGTGTATGAGTGTTTTGCCTACATGCGTGTAAGTATACCACATGTGTGTGATGCCCATGGAGGCTAGAAAAGAGTGTTGTATCCCATGGACCTGGAATTACAGATGATTGTTAGCTGCCATGTAGGTGCTAGGAACTAAACCCAGATCCTCTGCAAGAGCAGCCAGTGTCCTTAACTGCTGATCCATTTCTCCATTTCCATCCCCAATGTCTTTTAAGCCACTTCTATGGAAGGGAAGAAATAGATAGTGGGAGATGTTGGTCAGTTCTACAGTAGAGGGGGCATGACAGAAATGAAGAATCTTTAGATTTAACTGCAGATAGTTTGATGCTTTTGCACATACTGAGATTTTTCTTTTGATTTGTCCATTGTAGGTATTTAAAGTTGTGTAAAATTTTTCTTGGGGTGACAGAAACAAACATTTACTCACCTCAGAATTGGAAGCCAAAGTGATGATTCCATCAAAGTCCAACTTTGTGAACCTATGAAATTTTGGGGGTTACTTAAAGGAGTATGGATGAGGGGTCATTTATGGGAGCAGGATGACTTAAAGGTAGCTGTGTCACCAAAAAGCCCACCCCAGCCTGGGTGGCAACTCATGCAGACCTCGCAAGCTTTATAGGTCAGTGAGTCTCCTCCATGGGGCCTGGCTGGTGGAGAGTCTACTCCCCCAACAGTTGTTTAATGCTTCAGTAATCTTGGGGAGGGGGCTTGTGAATCTTAGTTTCAGAAACTTCTTGAGACTTTTGAGTTGTTTACTTCCTGAGTCTCATGAGCCTCCTCCTGTCCTGCCTAGAGGGAATGTTTCAACTAGCAGGACATTGATACAAATTGCAACAAATGTGCATCAGTTTATTGGCTTTCTGTGTTTTTTGCTTGTGAGAAGGGTCCTTGAGTATGAAATTAAGAGTAAGGGGACAGTATTCATTTTGCTGTCAGAGGCTGTGGAGGAATTCTAATACACAGATTACTGACATTGTCATTGAAAAGACATTGGCTATAAATCTTTTATCTGTCAAGACCACTGATTTTACTCTGTTCTTAGTTGATTTAAAAATATTTTATTGGGTAGTAGGGAACAGATGTTATGGGGAGGGGGGAGTGGGAGTGTTCAGCAGGGAGGAGGGAGGGACATGTAAGGGGCCATGGTGTGTGTGTGTGGGGGGGTCAGGAGGCAAGTCCGGAGAGGGAGGATGGTGGGTGTTATTGGGGGTATGGTGGGGATAATGGGGGTGCTGGGACTAGGGAGCGAGGTTGGATGGGAGGAAAAAGAGTAGAGATGAATGAATCTTGGGGGCTAGGAAACCTAGAGGGAAAAAAGTGATGCCCTTGAAACCCCATGAGAAATGCACATACAGTGTCCAGACATTACTGCATATGTATACCTGGGAGCTGCTTGTCAAGGAACACAGTGCCAGACAGAAGAGACCTCCCTTTGATTGATGAAGGTGGTCCAGGAACTCTCAAAATAACACAGGTTATTGCCAAACCTCTTGGTTATCTCCCAGAACTAGTAGGTAAGATGCTACTGCTGAAGATAGGACATACTTAGGATACAGGACTTGAAGCAATGGGGCAGGAATTGACCTGGAAGCCTTCTAACTGAAGTTTGGTTATCATAATGCTAGATGATGATATGCAAACTGCCAAGGGAGAAAAAAACCTCAATGGTCCAACCTAGTCCTAAAGCCTAATAACCATAACAACTGGAATGGCAAACTACCTCTATTGATGCAGTAGTGGCACTGTTATCTGGGGGGGGCAATCAATAGCAATCTAATTGGACTTAAAACCTCAATGGGAGGGAACTCATGGTTGGCACTACAAACTCAGCCAAAAACACATGGCTGGAGAAGACAAAGATCCTAGAGAAAACTCTTTCATAGTTCTGGACAAATGAAATTTCTTATTATATGCTAAATATCGATCCTTATATTTATAGACAAGCATATCATACACCATTTATCAAAGAAGCTTCTTTTTGCAACAGATGTAGGCTACTGCAGAATTGCACATCTGTTCAGACACAGAGAACATCCTTCTGAGAGAAGCCCAGTACTAGGGGACACATCTAACTAAGGCTCAAGGAACACAGCAGAACAAGGGGTAGAGAGAAAACTAATGGATCCCTCAACTCTCCTCAGTAAAACTTCCTTATACAACAGAGTATGATGCACATAGAAGGCCACAACTGGCCAAGTCTTAAAGAGTAAAGAGATTGCAGAGTGTAGGATAGGACTCCTATATGGAACCTCATTCACCCACGACTCATGGACCATTATGGAAGAGGGTGCAGAAAGATTGTAAGATCCAGGGCTGGTTCAGGGACACAGGGAAGCAGAGGCTTCCAGGCTACTGGAAGCTTGTGGAAACGGTCGCATTGAGCACAGGACCCATACCTACTCAATTAAACAAAGGCCCAAAGAGGAGGAAAGAAATAGATGGCGGGCTGGGGCTAGACTGAGAGCTATTGGAGACTGATTGCTGCTGGGTGAGGGAGTGTATGACTTACATATGATCTCTAGATGGGTTGACGACTCCAGTGAACGAATTTACACTGAAGGACATTTGGATACAAATGCCTGAATGGATAGGGCTTAACATGTATGGCAGAATACATGAGGTCTGGTAAGGGGATGGGGGAAGCAAGAATGGGGGAAGGGGTCTAAATTTGATTAAGAACTATTGTAAGAAATGATAAAAATTCAATAAAAATGTTTATATATAAAATCTATTTTATATTATTACTTTTTTTGTTTATAAGTGTATTCTCTGCATGTAAGTGCACCCATATAGTGCAATGCCCATGGAGGTCAGAAGAGGCTGTCAGATCCCCTGGAACTGGACTTACAGATGGTTGTCAGCCACCATGTGTGTGCTGGGAATTGAACCCAGGTCCTCTGCAAAAGCAGCCAGTGCTCTTAGCCAATGAGCCATCTCTCCTGTCCCTTCTTGTTTGCTTTATAAAATTAGTTTTTAAGTTAGCATACAAAATACTGGTTCATTGTGGCATTTTCATATTCATCCCCTCCCCGTCCTCTATTACTTTCCCTTATTTCCTTGCCTCCCTCTTTCTGGCTGTCTTCTTTCTCCCAATAGCTCTCCTATTTCTTTTATGTCCCGTGCATTCCATAGTCTCCTCCCCACTCTTAACCTGTTTCCTTATGCTCTGCTCTTGTGGTCCCTTTCTAGTTTCATGGCAAATCTCTATCTGTCTGTCGGTCTGTCTATCTATCTGTCTGTCTATCTATCTATCTATCTATCTATCTATCTATCATCTATCTATATCTATCTATCTATCTATCTATCTATCTTTCTATCTAATCTATCATCTATCTCAATCATCTATCATCTACCATCTATCTTTGATCATCTATCTATCATCTATCTATCTATCTATCTATCATCTATCACCTACCTATCACCTATCTTCTATCTATCAATCATCTATCTATCTATCTATCTATCTATCTAATCATCTATCTCTATATCTATCTATCTACCTACATCCATCTATCTATCATCTATATCTATCTATCTATCATCTATCAAATCTCTATCATCTATCTACCTATCTACCCATCATCTATCTATCATCTATCTATCTATCTATCTATCTATCTATCTATCTATCTATCTATCTATCTAATTAAGTAACTAACTATATTTGTTTTTTCAAAACAGGATCACCCTGAAGCCCCAACT